CTCATTTGTATGTATATATATATATACATATAAAAGAGGGACCTGTCTCTAGGACCACCATTAAGTGTAGATATATCTATTATATAAAACAGCTTGGGTATAAGACAAAGAAGCATTCTCATTTGTTAATGAACATGGGAGCAAATGAAACAATGGATGAACAAGGGAATGGATGGATGGCAGTGCAAGATATTAAGGGTTTTGGCTAGTATATATATATATATATATATATATGTATATATGTATAAAAGAAGAAGGCAAAGGGGGTGTCCAAGCAAATACAAGCCCATGGACACAAAAGTGCAAAGAATTGATGGAGGGAGACAGAGGTCCCTAATTCACACGGCTATAGGCTCCACTCACAAACCCTAGATTATAATAACAAAGTCATTTAGATTTGTCCTGCTGGGAACCAACGCTGAAAGTGGGGCAGGTCTAGTCCTATATATAGCCTTTGCAAAGTGTGGTCACCACATGTCTCACATATCCTTTCCTAATCCATTTTCTGACACCAATGTCTTCCTACCACAACAAACTAACATAATCAATAAATAAACAAATAAATAAACACTATTGATTTGTCTATCCAACCCTCTGGCTTCCTTTCACTTTTTATCTCCTCACCACAAAAACAGATATGAAAAATGGTTTGGCTTGGCATATGAGATAAAAAGGAGTGTTCTTCAACTTAAGCAGAGCCAGGCTTCCCTTACTGGGTTCCTCCCTAATTGCTGTGTGCTGGAAACCCGATTGGAAACCAATGAGGGGGGAGCCCTAAATTTGGGCAGTTTAGATCTTGGCGATTAATTTAAAACCAATACCAAATTGGTGTATCTAGGGTTGTTGTTGGAGGGGCAAAGACTCAGTCTAGCTTGTTATAATTGTGCCCTACATGTATAGATATATAGATAGATATATAGATATATATATATATGTTTATTTGGGAAGGTTTGAGGCGGTGAGCCCATGACATGATGAGTCAGGCAGATGGGGAGGAGCAAATAATGGTTTATTTTTTAAGAAAGAAGGTGGAGTAACTCACATTATCCACTTGTCCAGTCAGCAGTTGTTGGATTGTGTGTGTGTGTGTGTTTTTTTTTTTTTTTTTTTTTTTTTTTTTCCTCTATTTTTTCCCGTTTTTTTCTTCATCTTGTGTTGGACTAAGAAGCAGATGAAGCAGCTGAAGTGGCACAAGTCATTACCCACATGCACAGCACTAATGAGTTATTGAGGTAGTTATGTAGATCTATAATAGTGCAAAACAGATGAGCTTAATTGTTGAGCTCAATAGTGCAAAACAGATGAGCTTAATTGGAAGCACAAAAAGAGAGTAAACAGTACCAATAGTTTTTGTCGATTTTTTAGAAAATTGACAGAATTATATACAGAGAAAGAGAAAATTATTGCAGGTTTATATTCTTGTAACAAGTATCATTCAAAATAAAAATAAAAAACCAATTGTTAAAGTGTGAAGCGTGTAGCTGTCAAGGGTTTGGAAGTTATTCCAGAATTACTTAGAACTTGATTTCATGGCTATTTTTGTGAAAACATATTCATATATATGGGTATAAATATATGTATTCACTATAATTGAAATAGCAACCTTTTCCCCGCTATCTATTACAACAAGTACAATTCAGATGAAGTTCCATGCCAAGCAAATCCAAATGTAAATTTACACTATCCATTGTGTCTGGCCAAGCTTATAAAATTGATACCCTTTGTTAGAAACTAAGCACATATATATATATATATATATATATGTGTGTGTGTGTGTGTGTGTGTATATATATATATATATATATATATAGAATGAAAGTTAACATGCAGTTTCTAAAGTTTCATATTTTCCCTCTCATTGCTCACTCATTCAGTCAATTCCACGAGAGCTGGTTGGAGTCTTTCCACAACCCTTGTGTTCCCAAAAGTTTTGATAATGAGGGTGTACCTTGGCCCCCACGGAGTCAGCACAGGGGACATTGGAAACAACTGTATTTTTTTTATTTTATTGTCATTTTTCCCTTTTCATATTCTAGTATGTTCTATTTGTTTATTTTGTATGAGAATTGTACAAGTTGAGTCAACCTGAAGAGGATAATGTGGATAACCCCTTTTCCCTCAAGTACCACTTCAACTCCTTGTTGTTGGCTAGTTGGCTGTTCGGACTGGTTCAATGGACATGTACTTCTCCTCATCCTACTGCTACTACAAATCAGTTATTACTGCTCTCTTGTTCCCATCATATTCTCTGTATATTTATTCATGTTTACACACAGTCATAAAATTCCAAAGATGGGTACCTGTCAAGTTGGCAGAGCAATAACCCAGTCAGGTGGTGCTTCAATCACAAGTCAATTGTGGGTTGAATCTTTTGGTTATGGGTCCTCCTTTGGGGAAAGAGGATGCTGCCTGCATTCATATTGCAAAATTGCAAAAGCAAGGCACACAGAGAGAAGAAGCTGCTGTGAAGGGTTGAACAGTTTAGGGCAGCTCTGTGGTGCCATGTGGAGGCCATGAACGTGGCCGAGTCTCAACATCTGGAACACAGAATCCGTGTGGATCAATGCCAGAAGCACTCATTGGCTCCCCCCCCCTCCTTTATGATTGAAGGGAAACCCCACACGTATACCACACGCAGATTCCGAGCTTTGGAATCTGCTCCCTGTCCTCTCATCCTCCAATCTCTAGGGCTATCCTGATCTGAATAGCTGGGCTGTTGGATTGATTCCACATAGACCCATCTTCTTCATCGGAGGTGAGGGGTGGATTTGTTCATGCTTCAAGTTTGCCTTGTATTCTCCTGTATTTGCCACATCAGCACAGGAATGCAAAAAGCAAAAATGCTTTGTGCCATTTGGATCATGGGTTTTTGGGATGCACGTGGTGCATCAAATTGGGAGTTTTGAAAAATAATAATAATTAAGGCACGCCGAGTGCTTGTGTGTGGGATGTTTGAATTTTAGGTCTTGTTGTTATTAGATGTTGAGGCACGTGTGTCTGTTGTTAGATGTTATTCAAAGGTGATCATTTTGTGTGTTTATGATCTAATATCACATTATTCCATTTTCAGAAGAAGTTGTGACCTGTGAATAGGAATAAGGCTGATGTGGCTGTTTAAGTACGAAAATCCAAGAGAAATTGTTTCTCTCTGTAAAAAGATAATGCCTTGCAAGGAGGTTTAGTGGTTGCAAGGGATTATGGTTTCAATCCTGTTTGAATTATTAACTATTTGAGAGTTTCTCAACCCTCAGAGGACATTGATGTGTATACATGTCAACCTTCATGAAGCAATTACAAAATAAAAACCATGAAAAGAAGCACATAAGTTCAAGTTGGATTTTGGATACAAGGCAAACTTGAAGCATACAAGGCATGTACTCCAAAAAGAATGAACACATGTACTCCAAAAAGAATAGAGTTACAAGTGACAAGAAAAATTAAAGTAAAATTAAGAGTGATTCCCCCATCAAATTTCGTGACCTAACAATTTGAATAAGACTTGAAGTTGATTTGAACTTGATCATGCTTAAGCAACAATATATATATATATATATATATATATGAATGTTTAAAATCAACCACATGTAAAAATACACATGAGTTTTTCCTTATTAATTTGACTTTTTTCTTTCTCCTTATTTATTTATTTATTTTTCTAGTTTACACAACTTTTATGCAGTAGTATGGCTCACCTTTCAAAATTTCATTTACACCAAGGTTTTACTTTGATGTTTTATCACACTCACTAATGATTAACTACTCCCCTGTTCCCCTCATCCCCCACAGTATGATTATAAAGATATTAATAAATAAACAGACGATGCTTCTGAATTATGGCAATTTTTTCCCTGAAATTCCTCCATAGTATATTTGGTTTACTCTGACCTGATTGCCATTGCTTTTGCTTGGTTTTGACTGTTACCTGTCAGCCTTGCAAGCAAGCTCTTCAATAATTCATACCGTTTGCAGGCCCAGCTGCATAATCACACCATCATTCAGCAGAGAAGAGCTGTCTGTTACATTTTCCTGTACAAGTCCAAACCTTCACCTGCAATACTAAAAATATAAATATAAAAAATGAAAAATGATAATGGAGGGAACAGTGTGGAGGGAGATTTGTGAAAGCGGCTGCATTCTATCCCACACAACTCATTGACCACCAAATTGGCTTCAATTGCTCCAATGTATGTAGTGCACCATCTAATGTGAGCTCCACTTCCTCAAAAACTTTTTCCCTTTTCCCGTTCCATAAAAGTCCACCAAAAGCTACAAAATGTTCTAATTTTTTATATTGAAATATGTGGAAGAGGAGATGAAGCTTGAGGATCTCGTGATAAGTGTAAAGGGGGTGAATGAAACGTTGGTTCTAGAATAGGAGACATCTTCCTGAAGGGAATTTTGCTGCTGTGTGTGGACTAGCACCGCTTGGTAGGACCCCTGAAAGCGCGGGTATAGGGGCCCTGTCCAGCTCAGCACCGAAAATATCCTAGCAGACCCGTGGCGGGTGTGTACAGAAGCAGAGGCCGGGCGCACACCCCCCGAGAAGATTGTGAGCCCGCGGGTAATGGCGGGAGATTTGGTTTGTTTTTTTTACGCGCTGCGCCGATGCCGTTGTTGTAACTGGACGTGGTGAAAGGGGCATCCGACGGCCCCCCGCTCCGAACTGCTAGCTAGACGGGGGGTGGAAATCGCGGCGCCATGGCTCGCCACTGCCACCGCGACGAGGGATGCGCAGGCTGCTGCGTAAGAGCGAGGCGGTGGTCATGTTTATCCGCACTTCTGCAACTGGCACTGTTATAGATTGGGAAAGCGGTCAATCCTGGAGGCGGGGAGCTGGGAGGGAGGGCTCGTAACGAACCGGATTGACGTGGAGAGACTAGTGGCATTGTGGTGCACTCACAGGCCGAAACACACCCCCCCCCCCCCCCCCAAAAAAAAAAAAAAAAAAAAGAAAGAAAGAAAAAGGAAGAGATAACAACACGAAATAACGAGGTGGTTAGTTGGTTGTATCATTTGCAGATGAGGAATCTGCTGCAGCAGGAAGCGCGCATCCAGGGGGTTTCATTTGTCGAGTCGTTAGAATGAACGTAGTCGGGCTGGGGAAGAAATTCCGGAGGGCGCAGTGGATTTCGGTCGATGCTGAGGTGGCTGGGGGTGAAGGTATACCTAGAGTTGCGTGCGTACCTCTTGATTCAATCTCAAGCTCGATCTCGAGAGATTTTGCAGACAAAGAGCATTGTGAAGGGGAATAGCCAGCGAGGAGGAGCGCGAGAGAGGGAGGTGTGGGGAGAGAGAGAGAGAGAGAGAGAGAGAAAGAGAGGGGAGACAGAGCTGAGTAGGCGGTTAGGCCAAGTGACAAGCGAGAGAGACTTTTGGTAGGATCTGGATATTCGTTTCTGACTCTGAGATTACTTTGAGAGGTCACAGATAGAGGGATCAAGGGACCAAGGTTGGGGAAGATATATAGATGCTCGAAGGGGATGCGATCGTTTGCTTGGAAGGCGAGTTTCGGGAGCTAGACAGAGCTTGAGCAGGTACAATTGCGCGTTCGTGGGATTGTTCGACGAAGAGTTAATTCGAATAGAAGTTTTTTGAACCATTTGTATTGGATACGAAGTTTATCGCATGCTTGAAATTTGTACAAGCAAATCTTTGGGAGAAGTTGGTCAACATGTTGTTTGCGTTGACGCCTTGGTTGATTTCATCACCCTTTCTGTCGTTAGGATCTTTGATTGCCGTGTATGTTTGTGTATGATCATGCCTTAAGGATGGGAATCAGTTTGGTATGGGACGAGTACAAGTTTTTTTCGTCCTTATTCTGATTCAGCATAGATTTTGCAGCCGAGTGAAGTGCAAGTTGGCAGAAGTACGTTCAAAATAGAGATTTATGGTTTTGCCACCGTCGGGTGTTTCGTAGTTTTCGAGGGTATTGAGTATTGGCAGCACTGAGTTGCTTCATTTAGTTTCGGGCTGATTTTTGAGTTTTTTTGTAAGTATGATTTTGTATCATGCGTGCACACATGTTTTAACGACGGAGTTTTTGTGTCCAGTGCGGATACTCATCTGTTTCTGATCTTTCATTTTTTATTTTTTTCAATCTTTAACAGGCTTATCGAGTTTTAGGAAGGAATTGTTCTTGGAATTTTGGGGAAGAAAGGCGTGTTCGTTGGCTTGTAGCCACATACACCAAATTAGGAGCTCTTAAGATCTGTACAGTCAAAAGCTGCAAGAGCGATCCAGTCTGGTTCAGGAGATTCTGCAGTCTCCTTTTCATTGAAGGCTCTTCAGCTGTTTGCAACGTTTACCTTCTTTAATCTGCACTCAGGTGATTACCAAAATCTCAAAGTCTAAATCTTACACACGAAAGAATTTGGTCGTCGACACTGCAAAGACTCGTCTAATTTTGAACGGGAGATGTTTACGTTTTGGAGTTTGTCCCCGTCGAGAGAGTATTGTCTCTAATCTGCTGCATCGCGACTTAGGTGTTTGACCACCTATCAAAGTGATCCTCATTACTTCAACCGTGGATTGTCATACAGCTATGGACGCACGGGACTTGAGATTCAGGAGCTGCGAAGGCTGCGGAGGGGTCCACTGCTCTCTTTTCCCCGGAACGCCCGTGTCTGTGTCCTTGTCAAACTGCGACATTGAGGCCCTTGTGCAACCGTCTCCTGAGCAGGTTGAAGCCTATGAGCTGTACTTGCATCTCCCTGAGCTCACTCGGCTATGGCGGACAAAGCTCTATCCGCGTTGGGAAAATGAGATCATTGTGAGACCTGCTCTTCACAGCCTTGAACTCGTCTTCCGCGTGATTTCAGCTGTCTTGTGCGACACGAGACCATACATAGACCGCGATGAGTGGCTTCGGAGATTGGAATCGTTGGCAAACTTGCAACTGGAAATTATATCTTGCATCGTAGAAGGAGACGAGGAGGCTCCTACATCGAAGCTTTCTAATAGTTGCAGCTACGTTGGAACGGAGTCAGTGGTTTGGCACAAGTCTGGATCACGGCCTCTCGTGAGCAGGTTGAGCAAAGAGAGCTTATTGCCTCGTCTTGCGGCCTGGAGGACGGCGCACAATGTAAGCATATTGTTGCATTTCGCCATTGAAGGTCACATGGCACGTGCACCTTTCACGCTGGGCCTTGGCGAGCCCAATCTCTCTGGCAAGCCAGTTTTGGAGTACGACAAAGTTTGCACGCCTCTTGAGGTATACTACCGAGGGTTTCCCTACACTTACAGTAGACTTGTTCTCTTTATATCGTGTACGTGATTTGCATTAAGTTTGTTCGCAATCTGTTACTCGGTCAGCCTCTTTCGGGATCGAGTTTGGATTGCAGCGGGAGACCGTCGCACCTGTATGCTTGACATTCCGTAGGGTTGCATTGTGTCATTCCAACCTGTTCAAGATGATTTCGGACAAGCAAATTCTTAGTCGACACTGCATTTAGATTGTTTTGATTTAAATATACCTCTGATGTTTGATATGAATCACTTTCTACGAGATTGATACACTTGGTAGAAAATGCATCATATTTGTTCATATTTTGCTCATCATTGTCGGAACCTTATTCTGCTCGATAACAATATATTGTTCAGACGTTTGCGACCAGTACTAGTGAATGGGGATTAGGATGCAACTTCTACACCCGTTTTGTGTACACAGTCGGCTTTGGAATGTGTGAGGTCGGTCGAGAATGGGTGGCAGCAGCCATACGTGTGCTGCCTCAATCACCCATAGAACATTTAATGTTGTTGAGTACATTGAAGGAAATCTTACGGAGGGTTTTCATCACAGGTGTATGGCTGCAGACAATCCATGCCTGGGCATCCTGAGGATCACACTCTTTCGACTGTGCATCAAATCATGGAGGCATGGTTGGAGGTTGCTTCTGGTTTGTTGCAAAATGTGGAAAAGACGGTTAAAGAAGGAAATTTTGAATCAGCTGCCAAGAGCTGCAGAATTGTCGAGCGGGTGTGGAAGCTTCTCATCTCCACGATGGATTTGCTTCAAATTATGGACCCAGACGATTTTATGCGCTTGAAGGAGGAGCTTGCAATTTCTCAGGGCGGAACAGCCATCAGTACTGAACATATTGGTGGAGGTGAGACAATAATCTTGATGTCAACATATGTGACATCTGTTCAATTGACGTCTACTTCCCCGATGAGTTGCAAATTTGAGTTCTGATGGGCTGTGGTCAACTCTTTAGGTGCGTACTGTTTGCGATCTTCGAGGCTACGGCATGTTACGAAGGATTGCAAGGAGCTTCGGCATTTGGTTCCTAAGGTCGTCGGGGTTGAAGCTGATCCTAAAGGCGGTCCAAGGCTCCAAGAGGCTGTGATGGATTTGCTTCACTCCCATGGGTTGCGGACTCATGCAGCACCGCTGTACAAGCGCCCCTCGGGATACCATTCATCCACAATCCACCTGCTGCAAGCTTTCCAGGCGGTTGAGGCAGCAGTTCGTCAGTTCTATTTCTCATACCAGCAGTTAGTGATTGCTGTAATGGGAAGTGGTGAGTATAAGGCCACAGCGCAGACAGAAATATCCGCTGCAGACGCTCTAGCTCAAATTTATTTCGAACCACCTTATTTTCCAAGCCTGGACGGTGCAAAGACGTTTCTAGGTAGTTACTGGCATAACAATCCGGAACTTGAAGAAGGTGCTATTATGAGACAGCTCATGGTTGAGAAAACATCGCGTACAGGAAACTCTAGCAAAGCGTCTAGTGTTGCTAACAGTGACAGCAGTGACAGTACTAAGAATGATGAAGACGAAGAGCGAACACAAAAGGTGCTTTCACTTTCCTCTTTCCTCTTAATTACTTAATAGAACGAGAATTTCATCTGCAAATTTGTGATACATGACTCATTTATTTTCATTATCTGTGTGTATTGTCGATCGTCTAGGACGCGTGCTGAAGACCTTATCTTGATGGTTTCTCTTGCAGAAAAGCCTAGGATCTTCAGAGAGAAAGCAATACGTGAACGCTGCTTTTTCTTACAACAAACATCACATGTATCAAGGAGCCATGGGGGCTTGACAGTGTCGACATCGTTAGCAGCATGAAATTGTTAGCTGTCCTTCAAAGACGGAGGATGTTTAAATTTTAGCCATACATGGGATGGTAATAATTCTCACCCTTGGGTTGGTGCCTCGTCATTTGGAAGGTGGATGTCATCTTCAACCCATCCTTCCGCAGATACATGCCCACAGACCTGTGTGAAGGGCGATAGTGCCGATAATGTTCACTTCCCCCTCGGTAATGTGGGTGATAAATGTCAAGGAATCCTATGAGATTGAAAGGGAATATAGGGGATGACTTCGATAGTTCTTGTCCAGTAAGGAAGACGGATGATCTGTACTGGAGGTGTAAGAAGATTGTCGCGGGATTTATGTGTGAAGTTTTCCTCTCGTGAGTAAGAAGACGTAGCTTCCCATTTGTTTGCTCATCACTGTGGTAGAGGTGTACATTACATTATTATGGGGTGGACATTTTTGTGTACATTGGTCCTTCAGCCAACCGTCGAGCTACGAGATTGTAGTGCAAATTACAGACACTAAACCTACTATTATCACTGCCAGTAAAAGCACAATGCTTTTTGCAGTATATTTTTTATTGTACTCTCAGACTTTGATCTGTTCAGCTGACATTGTATCTTTTATCGCTCTATAGTCTCGATGTGTGATATTTGTTGAAGATCTGGACAAGCTTCTGCGTTGGAAGTAAACCCCAAGTGGCGTCAGATTTGAATTTTTGATTCGTGTAAGGTGTGTTCACAGATTTCTTGAGAATTCTCTATGCACAACGTTTCAACTCTTCAGTACTGACAAAATTCATTTAAGTGAAGTGAAACCTCACATTGGCAGAGTTTCGTTAATCCCTTGATGTTCCGCTGTGTCGACTCGCTGCGAGCACGATCATGTGTACCGAGAGAAAAATGGGCTCCCGGGGTCGTAAGCAGTTCTGACGTCATGGCTACTCTCATCAGTAGACCTTTGTTTGTCAATCTCATGTCATCATGTGATCCCTTTACCTTGTAATTGCTCAGTCTCACAGGCTTTCTCTCAATAGTATGTATTAAAGAGACCATTTCCACAATGACAAACTACTTCGCTTTGCTTGCAATGAGTAACACATCTTCGTGGTCAGCACGTTATGTCGTGCTCTCAAAATTTGTGTGTCGTCCAAGAAATTATCATCTGATTTCACGACGCGAACGTCTTGCATATGAGTCTCTAACTCCCATGTTATGCACCTCGATTCTCTTGAACAGATTCTGTCAAAGGCGCACGAGTATTTGTTGATGAAGCAGCAGCAATTTCTGAGCACAGGTCGTTGATAATCCTCATGACGCGTATTCAGACCAGGAGGTTCAACTGCGTGGAATTTGAGTGACGTCACCGATTCAGCAGCACGTGCATCAAGTATTTTTGCGTGGGCAGAGACTCTTCAGATGCAGGTTTAGAATTTTTCGTTCGAAGTGATTAAATGCTGGATTCTTGTATTGAATTCTCCGTCATGCATTGCAACATAAAAAATCCATTGAGGTTGATATAGTCTTTTCAGTTTGTTTTTTTGACAGTTTGAAAGATCACCTGTATCAGTACTGACGACCGGTGGCAAGTTCGCTCAACATGCTGACGATACGGACACTGACGTTACGTGCGGCTTCCTTTGTTTCTAGTCGCTGCTGAAGTTATAGGTAATATAGCTCTGGTCGGTGCCACCTATCAACCCCATCACAATGCTAGAGATTGGATTACTTGTAGGGAAAGCCCCTATAGATTTGCAGCACGTTGCGATCTGCCTGCCTTGCTGCGACAGGGAGCCATGCCGCTGGCACCTCACGCGCTCAGCAGCTGCCAGTTCTTCCTCCGGCGGAGACACATCTATTGTTGTCACACTCTCCATGTAGGTTTGCCCCACGATCCACAACATTCTACCCAGGTAGTACCACAACTGACTGCTTTAGCTAGCGGTCTGAGGCAAGACGGCTCAACATGTACTCATCTGCCCAGCCTTTGTTAAACTCGAAGTCCAATGCTGCGCAACCAGCTCATGAGCTCCCGCATATCCATCACCCCAGCTGAGGGCCCCTAATCCATGAGGGCATCGCTGTTACGACTGATGCGTCAGAGTAACCGTTCCTTTCGGTGGCCTTACACAAGCAATGCGGTGCCTAGAATCGACCCATCGTTGCCGCTGGAGGAAGATCAGATGGGGCACACCGTGAGATTCTCCCTGTCCGCGTCTCTACTTGTCGGCCGAAGCCAACACTCGCCTCAACGAAGCAAGACGTGAATATAAATGTGGGTCTGGTAGTCGTCAAGCATGTGGAAACGTTGGATCTCTCCGAATGAGTATGGAATCACGAGAATAAGATTGACTTCACTGTCCTCGGAGATGAGACGTGTGGAGTGAGCAATGTCGGCGCCGTGGATTGTGTCATGGACTTCGTTGTCGGTAACGACGGTGTGCGACGGAGCCCGAGAATTCGTTCGGGTATCGTCCATTTTCAGTAGGCTCTACCAACGATGAAAACAATTCCATACTTCAGGTGAAAGTATTTCTATTCAATTTAGATAGAAAAAAGGCCTTAATTGATAATTAATTTAAATAATAAAATTTTACCAAAAAGAATTAAGATTACTATTCATTGAACAGATTTTATAAAATTTCAATTTTTTGATTTTTTAATCTTTAAAATTTGCAAAATTTATTTAGATGCATTTGATAAAATGAAAATTCCATGTGCTTTTTCATATAATAAAATATAAGTATAACTTATTCTTATTTCAATCATTAGTTATTATATTTAGCATATTATATACATGTATAGTTTAGAATTGGTATTATTGGATATTAAAGTTTTTTATATTTGAAGATTGAAGATAGTATCATGTATTAAGAAGTGATAATTCCATTTTATATTGAATAATTTATTTTTAAAATTTAATAATAAAAAATATTAATTTTTTAGCAAAAGAGGCTCAAATAGTGCATTAAAGATTGTGAATAGTTATAATGGAAGAGATGATAAACTTTAAACTAGTAAAAATACTTTTCAATGTAGCAATGATATTAATAATGTTGTATGGTCTCTTTGCATAATATAAGTCATGGTTCTAAAAATAAAGAAAAGATTATCCTACTGCTATTACAATTATATTGTAAATAAAAAATAAAAAATATATTTTTAATTCAATATATATATATATATATATATATTGAAATTTACATATAAATTCTTAGCAATTATTTATGCCTTTTTAAATTTTTTTTAAAGATAAAAATTCTAAAAAGTAAAAATGATTTTTTTAAAGTGTTGTTAATACAACCACAATTTTTGCTATTGCTACCACAACTTGCCATCTAGAATATGCCATTACAGTTTTTACTAATGCCACTACAAGCTATTATAAACTTACATTGTATACCTTAATATAACTTTAAAAATGTTATTAATGTATACTATAATGGATAAAACACACATTCTTTATAGATGTATATTTTAGTATTTTATAAAGTACATTGTGGTGTGTAATGCAAGTGTACAACAACTTGTCATTAGAACAATGGCATTAGAACAAACCATGATTGCATGTGGTGGATAGCAAGTTATAGTAGCAATAGCAAAAATTGTGGTAACATTAACAACACCCTTTATGAGACCCTCAAGCTATTAAAAACTACATAAACAAGAGCACAATGTGGTTACACTTCTCTTTAGAAAACATATTCAAGACTTGAACTTAAATAATTGAAGTGTTCATGTTGGATTTAGACTACTTTAAGTTGAATGTTATTATTTAATTAGTCTAAATTAAAGAAGTTTTGACACAATCCCATGTGGAAAATATCAAAACATATATTGTCATGTATAAAAAGGATCTCAAATTGTATTGCTTAAGCAACACAATTTTTTGAGGAATAGAACTGGTATGAATAAATAACTTCATAACTAACTAAGCATTTTGCTTGTTAGCCTAAACTCATGACAGTATGAAAAATACTCAGACACAAATTCACCTACTTTCATTCTTCATGTCTACATTAGGCAACTTGGAGCATTAGAACACATGCCTCGTTTATTTATTTGTTTATTCATACTGTCAGTGCTTTTTGCATATTTTTTGAAGAACCGCCGATGATGGGGATTAACCAAATAGTGTGATGTGAAGTAGGTATGGTTGGTGACGCTGTTGTATATGATATTGCCGGTACACACCCTTGCTACAAATTGTCTCAACCAGCTCAATCGACGATGAATTCCCATCTTTCCAGTGTAATATGGGCACCCAACTCAAGGTCTGGAACCGATTCCGCCCACGAGCACACAGACAGGTTATGGCGATGCATCTCCAACCCTAATCTAGACGTGGGCACCGAAGAGATGAGACTCACGAGTGATCCCTTTTGGCAGCAATAGTCGGTGACATAGTCGGCTTGCAACAGGTATCACCACGTAGTCCATTGCAGTACATTCAGTGTGGAGCGCTTGTCAACGTGTGCAAGAAGGTGAACGTGACAAAGAATCTGCAGTACAGTGTTGCACAAAAAAACAAGAGGAGAGTTGACAAGCCAACAAACTGACTGCACGTGGTCAGTTGGTTATCCCACTCAACAGGATTTCGTATCTACTTCATGTACAACGCCCCCAATTTACACGTCGATTGATAGTACATCACTCATGGTAGGTGCCGAAACGGAACTAGAACCTTAATCGCTGATTTAAGAGGTCACCGTGTCTTTGATTAGGTTTTAGATGTGAGTTGGATTTTGTTTCTAGTTAGTCACCGTATATGGAGGGCGAAAGTTATCGGCGGGACGCCACGCAACGAATTCAAGTCGTGGAATTGTATTGTACATGATCAGTTTTGTGAATGTCATTGTTCTACCAGGTCCTGAGACCTTAAACTAACCTATTCCTTGTGAGGACCTTTTATTAACCCTCTGCATTATGGTGTGATGCTATGGTTTTTTAGAGCTTAATTTACACAATGATTGTAAGAAGAGAATAAATGCGGAGGAAAATCAACCGCATGCTTGAGCTGCAACTCTGCAGGCTTTGGGTAATTCCTTATCTTGCAGTTTCGATGGTGTTGTGAATTCCATGGCAGATTCAACGTCTGCGTGTCGAAGAGGACTGTCCCTGGCGTTGGTTGGGCTGCGATTGTTCAACCAACGGATGATGTCGTTGAACACAAGCTCGATGTTGTCATCTGACTCGCCTGCTGTCAAACCGTGCCACATGCCGGGGTAGAGCTTGAACTCTTTGTCGCAGCTCTTGGATGTTTGGAAAAGCTCTCGGCTAATGTTAGGGTCTGTCACGCGGTCCTCCTCTCCATGAAGCACCAAGAAGGGTAGCGTCACCTGTGATTGAAGCCAAAGAATGGGTTAGGCAGTCAGAAAACACAAGGATCAACATCATTCGAGAATTTAGAGAATTTTCTAAGTTGGCGTCAGCAACCTACAATGCGATCCATTCGTACCTCATCCAAATGCTTCGCAAGGTCCTCGCTCGCCTTGAGGCATTCAACGGCGGTCTTCACTCGCGGCAGTTGTTGGTAGATGAGTGGGTTAGCCCGAATCTGCTAGAAGGAAAATTTAATCGTTACCATCGACAAACCCAGCGAATTCAACCATGTGCATAGAAGAAAGAATTAGTACACGAGAGAAACTAGTGGATCCACCTCTTGGCGCTTGATCGGGTCCTTGAAGGCGTTGTCAATGATATTCGCAGACGGCACAATCTTCCAGGATGGAATATACTCTGCGAGCTTGAGTAGAATTGAGGTAAAGATTGCTGGCGGCTTCACTTTCTCAGAGATTTTGCACATGGGAGCTTGCAAAATTGCACCACTCCATTCTTGAGGTTCTTTGCGATGGATGTAGAGAACTACAGCACCACCCATTGACTCACCATACAGAAACCTCGCCTTGTTCCCGTAAATTTCCATCTCTGCTAGAAGAAACAAATAAAGGATGGACAATGCCCCAGATTAAGCAAGCCATCTCAATAGTCTACATTTTAGTCGTAAAAGTTTCTCAGATTGTCGCTAGAGAGACAGTGCACTAGATACCTCGTATACTTTTGAAGAAGGCGATGGTATCGTTCACAAGGGCTGTAAAGCTCTCCACGTAACATCGCCGACCGTCCGATTTGCCGTGCCCTTCATAGTCGATGCCGAACACGGCGTATCCCGCTTGTGCAAAGCGAATTCCAGTCTCTCTCATAAAAACGCTGCACTCCATGGCGTATCCTGATACATAATTGACCACTTGCTTGTTATACCAAGATGATCGCACCCTCATAAAATTGACCGAAAGTCTGCGGATCGATCAGAGTTGAGAGGTGGCATTCACAAGTAACAGACAGAAAATAATGAAAAATTCACAATTTACCATGACACAAGAAGACGAGTGCCTTGATCTCCTGATGCACAGGCAGCCACCGGCACGTGAAACGCTTTGTCTCCCAGCACTCAATGTACTCCTGAACAATACGCAGAAGGAATCAAGTTCAGCCCATCAATCTCTAGAAGGAGGAACTTGAGGTATGTGAATTTAATCACTCGATCACTCAAAGTTGCTCAGACGAACGGCATGATCATATATGGTTGCAGAGCTTTCGACCAGCACTTATGTTACGTGTCATTGTTCAGTAGCTCTACCTCTTCGTAGTGGACATCCTTTTCCGCCAGATCTTGATTACCCTGCATCGAGAGAACAATCCAACTATTAATGCTGAAAATCACAACAACAACTGGAATCGATTCTGCCGGCGACTGGAGTATAAAGCATTTGTGTTGCTGAAGAAGGAAGGGGGAGATTAGATAGAAGAAGAGTACGGTCACCGCAGCAAGTGTGAAGGTTTTGCGAGCTTCGAGGCACTTCCAAAACAACAGGGAGTTTCTGAAATAATTCAGATTCAATCCTGGGTGAAGCATTGGACTCTAGATTCGTTCAGTAAGCTGCAGAATCTCAAACCTGACGATGAAATTCCACTGAACCCATGGTCAATGTGTCGATCAATTGTAGCTTCACCTCCGTAATTCAAGAATCTGATGTTCAATGGAAAGCCAATGAACGTTAGAAGATAACGTCGAGCGTGTATTTCATGGAACCAGACCAAAGAGACTAAATCATCCAGTCACTCAACGAAAGTTTCTGCAATAATTGCAGTGCTTCTGCGGGAAGATCTCAGTCTTACCCTTACCATGGCAACCGGAACGCCAAAAACGCCGTAGCAGTCTTGCAGGGTTCAATCAAGTGTTGTACACCCGCGAGAAAAGTCAACTTCCTTCGTAACGTTCCCTGGACTACATAACCCTCTTCTCGACATAAAAAAAACCGCAAGTCTAGAGCAGCGCCACAGCTGCGCAATGCTCGTGGGCCTCGAGTAAATGCCTTCTCCCAAGGTCACCCGAAAACTGCAGCGGACCCAAACCTTTGATAGTAGCACAAGACAGTCACGCACCCACATGCAAGTCCCGACTTCGACACCCAGCACTTCGCCGACGATCCCAGAACACCAACTGATCCAAGAGGGACGAAGCTCCAGTCAAGCGCGACACATCAAGTCACGCGTCAAGGCCACTTTATACGGAGCAAGCGCTGGCGCAGGCGCAGTCGCGCGTAGGGGCTCATGAGAGCTACTGCTCTAGCCCGCGACGGCATCTTCCCAACCCCCACTGCACCACTGCAACGAAACGACTACGATAACGACACCTACGACGACGACGATGCAAAGCCCAGCTCAGCCTTCACGGGCACCCGAATCGCATCACCCACCCCTCCGATCCTTCACCACCACCACCACCACCATCACGACCACCATCTCCACAGCGCCGTGCTCAATCGAACATTGTGGGGGCGTGGTGACTGACTGGCACACGATCGTCGTCGTCGTCTTCGTTGCCATCGCCATCGTCATCGGCATCAGCGTCGTCGTGGGGAGGGGGTAAAGAGGGCGTCGTCATGCAAGATTCGACCATGTCAACTTCGTCGTGGGGCTTCGTCGTCTCCGCGCATTCAAGTCGGCGCAGTGAGCCTCGCCTCATGTCGCTCTCCGACTCCCTCGCACCTTTTGGATGCTCTCCCATCGCTCGGTATTTTACTCCCTTTTCACACATAAACTCCATAAATTAACAAAGACATATATATATATATATATATATATATACATATGAATGAATGAATGAAGAAAGGAAAGAGAGAGGATGAGAGAGCGGTGTATATCTAGATTGAAAAGTGGATGCCTTTGAAGGACATATCAAAATGATATATTGTTACTTGTTTTGCTTTTAGGAGCAGAAATAGAACGTTTCTCAAAATTAGTGTAGTGTATCATGTCTTTTTGTCCATCTTGTAAAAGAATGCTATTGAAATGGACACATGTTGTGAGTTAAATAATACCTGAGAGTTCTTGTTGTTTAAAAAATGTTTGTTAGATTGGAATTAAGGGTAGTGTCATTTTGTTTTGTTTTTTGAAAAGTCTATTCAGGTTATTTTTTAATATAATTTTAAAAATAAGACTATATATATATATATATATATATATATATATATAAATATATACAGATACATACATACACACAAATGATTGTATACATTATTTTATGCAATATTAAACAGATCATTGTATCAATTGATATGTGAATAAAATATATTAATTAATTAATTAATATATTTTAACTATATTAATGTATCACTTGTTAATTTATTGCTTAATTTGTTAATTATTTTGGCAAATTACCATAATAAACTTATTAAAAAACTAACATGTGTCAATTTACACATCATGAAATCTAAATATTCATAAATAAATAATCTTTATAATAATCAAAAAATTAATGTATATGTAAATCTATTCATTATATAAGACAGTTTGGATATAATACAAAGAGACAAAGAAGTCACTTGATTGGTTGTGGAGAAGGAAACTTAGAAAATGCAAGGAACATGAGAATAAGGGAACATTGAAACATGGGAACAAGGGAGTATAGATGAATAAGAAAATGGATGAATGTACAAGAGATCATAGTGTCCAACAACACAAGTTTCAATTAGTACATGTGTATATATATATATATATATATACACATATATTCATCAAGCTAGAGATATCAATTAGCAATGTCAATTAAAAGATTAAAGACAAAAAAATATAATTTATTTTAAATTTTTTAAATAATGGAGATTTTTAGACGAATTAGTAATGAAAATATATTTAAAGCTAAATTTGATTTAATTATTTTTTGAAGAAAAAAAATTAACATTACATTGTTAAAAATAAATTAGACTTATAAGTATTAAAACATATAAGAGATATAAAATAAATCAAAGAAGTAGCATGAGTTTTTTTTGTGTAGTAAAAAATATTTTAAAACATTTAAAATATGATTTCGAAGTAAATCACCTAAAATTAAAATTTTCAATAGAAGTCACTTGGTAGTAATATCATGATAGTGGATGCAATTGAAATAAGAATATTGTTCAAAAAATAAAATTTTACTATAATTTGATGCTATTTTAAGACATAATCTTAAATAAATTAGTTGTATATAATTTGAAATAAATATTTATATCTTGAAAGAAATATGTTTTTAACATTGGTAATATATATGCATAATGACAATTATTGGATTATAATTTAATATTATAAGTATATGTAAATATATAATATATTTTTAAGATTAAAAAATAAGATATTTTATTATTTTAAATATTAAATTAATAATCTCAATACCTTATTTAAATAATTAGTATTATAAAATAATATAATAAAATATATTTTTAAAAATATAGTAGCAATAGATATTTTGATAAACCAGATTATTACTAAACATATCACTTTGATAATTATGTCATTTTTTATATATATCAACATATACTATAAATTAAAATAAATAAATAAATAATTTATTAATTAAATTAATAATATGAAAATTAAAATTATTCTTTGTCTAATAAAAGTAGAATGAAACTATCTATTAAAATTTTATATAAATCATTCAAAATAGATCACATTTCAAAACACTTTATTTAATTTGATATTTTATATTATTATTATTTTATATTTTTATGTTTTTAAAACCAAATATCTCATAATACTTTATTTTTATAATTAATGTTGTAAAAGAATATAAACCAATTAGAAAATTAATTTTAAATATAATAGCAAAATATGTTTTGATAGACCAATTTATTACTAAAAAAATCACTATTATAATTATGTCAATTTTTTTTATGTATCAATATACAATATAAATTACAACATTTTTTTTGTTCAAACTTTTACAATTAAATTTTTAAAAGATGAAAACCAAAAATTTGATGTAATTTTATTTTTGTGATTTAAAAGCCACACATGCCAACATAAGTTTATTTTTTCATTAATTACTACAATGGATACAAAATAAAATTATAAATGCAAATTTATAACAAGAATTTTAAGAATGTTATTTTGTTTGAAATACCAATATTATATTTTATTCTAAAACCATTAATACTCTTGACAATTCACATTCTTGACTTTATAGTCTAAAACCACCAACATATTTTTTTTTCCGACTAAGAATATAAATGCTTTAAATATTCATTTTAATAGATATTGCATAATACAATCTAAATGTTTTCAAAGATTGGAGGTAGAATAGAAAATATAGAAATTTGTTCTACTTAATGATACTGTCTAAAACAACTATTCTTTGTCATGTAACTCTAATCCATACTTTTCTGATTTAAAAAAAAAAAATCAGAATATTTAAAAGGATGTTATTACATTTTTTGCAATGTTGTATGCTAGTTAGTTTTATTATAAGCTACAAGGTGATATTAGATTTTTATTTCTACTTTGATTTGTCTTTAAAGATCTTACCATTTTATTATTTTGATTTGGTCGAAAAATAGCTCTAAAAATGTATTCCTAATATCTCTCTGCATCTTCAACCTAAAAGAAAGTTTTTCTAAAGATATCTTAATATTGGATTGAAGCAAATTAAGAGCTTTTTTGTTTATTTTTAATTAATCAGTATAATTAATTGATTTTCTTTTTTTATAGCTATAGGATATTTTTAAAGCAATAAATTATTATTTCAATTGTTTTGTAATAGAAAAAAAAATTCTTATAAATTTTTCTTCTTAATTTTATTTGTTATATACTAATATCTATCTTTTTGTGTAATTTAAGGTTTTTTATTGCATAAAAATAAATAAGAACTTTAGTTTTATCCTACGAGTTTTTCTATTATATTTTATATTAAAATGTGAGCCTCGCTATTTTACAATATTATAGTTTAGAAGAATTGGATGATAAAATAGTTGAATATCTAGCAATATTTTATCTAATTGTAAGGTTTCTATTTGGATGTCTCATCTTAGAATCAATGTTTTTCTATTAATTTTATAAATCTCTTGTAGTGGTTGGTTTTGAATGCTAAATGAGTCCCTATTACCTCATAAAATCTTAAATGAGAAAGAGTGCCATAATAGATCAATTTGGCAAAAAATAACAACCCAATTATTCACTTCAAAATTTAATAAAACATGCTTGGATGATCTAAAGTCATTATAAAAAAAATGCATTAAGTAATATAATACCATATCTATTCATTATGTATGATATAATTATATATTTTTATTATTATTTATTATATTCATAATTAAGAAATAAGGCGCTATAATTGTTTAACTTGCATAATGCTAAATTTTTTTATAGTTTAATAAGCTTGGTTGAGAAAAAGAATAAAAGACATAATTTTTCAATCATAAAAAATAATTTGGTATCCAATAATAGTTATTTGGACATTTATACTTAAGGTCTTTAGCAATAATTCTTACAACATTATAATTCTTCTCCATATCTTAAAGCTTATAGAATTTGTTTTTGAGGATATATATATTTTTTAATCATAGAAGGTCTATCTTGTGATAAAAAAACAACTTATAACTTATTTTTTTTATAAAGTATTTAATGTCTCCCTCTCAACCACCACTCTTTCTTAAAGAAAAGAAAGAAAGAAATTCACAAAAGAAAGAGACATATTAATAGCTAATTGTCTATAAAGATGTCACATGAAATATAGTAATATCAATTGAGGATGCAGAGTTAACAATTCTTTGATTTTACATCAATAAAAGAAAATACAAAGCATTGATTTATTTTTATTACTTTGTGTTTGATCTACAATTTAATTTTTGTAGTTGTTTGGATGTGTAAGCAAGACATATGTGATTTAAGTTTCATAATAAGGGCTCTTCTAGAAGTAAGAATATGACCTACTTTCTTTTAAAGATAATCTAGTCATTGTTTAAATATAAGTTGTGAGGATTTGTCCCCATATGGATAACATTTATAACAAACTTGTTGAGGTGATCTGTATCTCATTTTAAAATGTTGGCACCAACTTTGAAAAAGAAATTTAGGTTATGAATAAACAAACATCAAATGTTGCAAGAATATTCTAAAAGCAAGCCTTCTTCTTGATTGACATTGTATACATCATTATCCTACAATCTTACATCTTCATATTCATAACCTTGTCTATTAGAAATACAATTAGGCAATCATTTGTGTTTCTTCATAGAATATCAAGTGGAACATGTAAAATTGTTGTTGTTGGCATTGAAAATAGATTTGTGCTATTTTTAATAAGATCAATTGAAGTCATTTGTGTCATTTCGTTCAAATAATTATTACAAGGAAATTCAATCATTTTATTCAAATTTTAATCTTAATGTCCTAAAGAAATCCCAATACAAGTTTTAATCTTGCTATAAGGAAATTTCTAACTAGAATGATGATCAAATTGTACAGGTTTAATATTTTGGAATCTAAGAATCAAACTAATGGATTAAATAATTGAATTGATCCAATAAAAGTACAACTCTAATAACAAATAACAAAAGGTGATTCATCATAGCTCTAGGTTTCCATCAATCCAAGGCCAATGTTGCTCAATTCAATTCTAAGAAGAAAATGGGCCTTCCCAACAAATTATTCAACCAATGGTAAATTTGGGAAAGCCTTTGGCACAATGAAGATTGTTGCCTTAAACAAGAGGTTGGCATGGTCTACTCTCAAACCCTCTGGGATTTCAACTATTCCAAACAAATACACTACCAAAGCACTCATGGTTTGAAAGTTACTATGGTCCACTCTCAAACCCTCTGAAATTTCAATTATTCCAAACAAATACACTACCAAAGCACTCATGGTTTGAAAGTTACTATGGGGAGATAAACACAAGATAGAAAAACATGAAACTATGCTCGTAACTAGCTACTCTGCTGGGTAACACGGGTTTATAAAGCCAGAGATCTGATTGTAGTTGTCAACGACGTTTACTGCAGTAATGTGGCAGGGCGATATGACAATAGCCTTTACAGATTGACATCGCCGCACGAGGCAAGGCCTTCCGAAATATCTTTACTACACAATCCAAATATCTTTACAATGTAAAGTATTAAAAAAAATCAAACAAACAATGGCTTAGAAACCCCAATCTTTAAAGCTTCCTACGATACTCCAAAATCCTTAAACAGCAAGGCAGTTGCTCAATATTGAATTTACAGATAATACAAAGGAAGACAACCATCCACGCGGGTGACCACCGGCTGGCATTCCTAGCCCAGACGAAGAACCAAAGGGCTTCTACCACCTCAAAAGAAAGACATGCCAATTGGAGCCTGCAGAAAAATATGCTCATTGAATCTCAATCTTACAATTTTTCCATAAATGCCCCGCATCTCCAAACGACCTCACAGCTGACTAATTACTCATGCGCAACTATCCAGTCTTGGATTGAAAGTGAACACCTTGAATGGAATCCCCTCACACCAGTCAGCTACCTGAGACCACAATTGCTGAGAAAAGGAATATACAACAATTTGCGGTGTGATATAACGCCTAGAAAAAAGGTATACAAGATCCCCTACGATAACACAAGAAAACGAAGAATAGGAGAAATTTTCCACCATGGCCTCAGGCATTCGTGTTACTTCGTTCCAGTCTTTGTAAACCGGATCATACTCCCAAATCGCAATTCCTACATAACTTTTCATGCCCGGAAGATGAAATACGTTATGATTTACTATGTCACCCACCACCAAAAGTCGACCTTCTCGCTCAAGAAGGCTTGCACACGAAGCATACGCAGGTACACTCATCATCATCCAGTTGCCTTCTTGTACATCAAGAGCATGCACGAATTCCGAGGATAGAAGGTGGACCTTTCCGTGATTAAAAACACTCTGACCTCTGAACTGTTCACTGCTGTGAACATCTCCTACATCTATCCAGCGGTTCAACTTGGAGTCGTACTCCTTCGTCGAGTGGTCAAGCACTCCCATCCAAAGCCATCGAACTTCTGAAGCCTCACAAACCACGTAAAGCTTGTAGCTCATAAAACTCGCTTCAGTATCAACAACCAGAGTTACAATAGAAACTCGTGAGCATGGACTTGGTATTATCTTCCACGCTTTTGTTATAGGGTTACAAACATAGAAACACACGCCATCTTCCCCGCTGTCGTTTAAGTCACGACAGAAACATACAAGACCTCCAGCTGCGGCAACAGGTACACTGCCTTCAGGAAGACTTGGGAACTCAAGTTTGAATGTTCTGTTGCTAACGGGGTCAAAAATTTGTCCCTCGTACTTGTCTTCATGTTTTAGATCTGGCGATCGATCTGCAAAGGAGAGAATCCAGGTCTCATGCGCAGCATTCTGGGAATGCATCTGAAAGAACCCTTCAGATTTCATCAAATTAAGCCACCTTTTACAGACAGGCCGGAAGCGTGCACAACTTGCCACGGGAAGCCACAGCAAAATTTTATCCGCTACATCTTCAGGAAGAGATTGCCATATATTTTCATCCATCTCTGGGTCGCTCTCTCGATTTCCAAAGCTCAAGTTCCTCTCGAAAACTACTTGACCGTCTTTGTCTTCTTCGAAAACTTCTGCAGCTCCAAGTTGTGATTGAGAAGTTGGCCGAGCCGAAGAGTCTTGAGAACATGGTCCAACTTTCTCATTGCTGATTTCACAGACAAAATCTTCTGACAGTAACCCATAGCCAGGCGCCTTTGATATCACATTCTGAAATGAAGTAACAGAAATTCATCAACTTTCTATACAAATGAGGTCCTCCACAATTTATAAAAGCAACAACAGCTAGTTATCCCTTCATAAAACAAATAGATGTCCATTTCTGATATACAAATACCTGTCTGACCACGACACTTGCATCTTCAAAAGTTTCAACACTTTCTACACCGTCTTCATTTCTCTCAAGTCGAAAAAGCCTTCTATCGTGTGGAAGCCGTGAGGTGTCTTCGTCAGTCCGTACATCACTTGTCAAAGTATCAACTCTTAAGCTTGTTGAACATTCTCCTGTGGTGACGTCACTGGAATTGTTTCTTGAGACTTGACAACTTAACGGTCCCCCTTCCAAGATTCTGCTTGTCCGAACACGTTTGACGAGGCAAGTAACACCGGCTACAACTCTATACTCATAGTCTTCACTCTCAGTTTTAGTCTCCACTTTGTTGTCTCCATCCTCACAATTATCCCGTTGGAATTCAGAATTTTCAAAATCTTCTCTGCCAACGTCCTTGTCTATCAAAATCGCCTCAGGTTTACATGGAAGCTGTGAGCTGCTTCCAATCGCCTGTGAATCTGCTCCATCCATCACTAAGACCTCTCCGACGTCCTTCAGAGGATTTTTTTGGAGATAAAAGCTTCTACATGCCGGAGGGTTTTATGGAGTCAATATCACGCCTTGCTAAGACAATCAGACCTATTTCCAGAGCAACATGAAAAATGAAAAACCTGATGCGATCTTGTCAGAACAATACCATTCGGCTGCAAGAAATGTTTCATTCATCAATATATACTACAAATCTCGTGAGCTTAAAGAGTTTGACTATATTTGATGATTTTAAAGTTACCACAAGTCAATGAAAACAATGTCATCAACCTGCTTCACAAGTATGAATTTTCTACTTCGTCCTTCACAACTCAAAGCGGGTCAACAAATGCGCAACCTATTCAACGCTAAGGAATCGCTGTAATACCTAACAAGACCACCAGCATCAAATCTTGGAGAAAGTGCAAAGTTACTGGAAAAGAAAGCTCAATCCTTAATAATTGAAATACAACAGCAACACAGGGATATCATAATCCGTCAGCGAAGAATTCTACAAATCTGCCCATCCAGTGCTAATGTGGACTGCTCTAAATACTCCGCATGACACAAAAACTACCAAAAACATTACAGGCATAGCTCAGATACATGACGCTCTGCAAAGAAATTGCGACCTCATACCAAGGCCATCACACAGAACGTGCAATAGTTCTCACCAGCAATCGCCAAGATTCAAAATAGACGTGCTTCTAATCTCACACACCTGTTTTACGACCAATTTGAATCAACACTCACTCAACTAGGAGACATTTATTACAAAACAAACGACCAAATGGAGTTGCAAGATGACGCTACTTTAAAATGGCCACAGATTAATAAAGCATCAAATCCTGACAGGATTTATCGACCACTCTACATATCTAGCAAGTCCCCGAAACATTGCCGAATGAAATTATCTCGGCATTCGAGACCATACCGAGGTCTGCATATCCGCACTCCGAACTGCGAGCGTCTTCCGCACAGCAGCAACCTCAAAACTTCATATCTCCAGAAGAAATCGACACCGTTGCACAGCAATTCCGCACCAGAAAAATTGGCTGAATACGATCCTTGCTCGCGATCCCGCTGCACAAGGTCTTACCAAATCCCGCAACTCCAGCACCCTTCTCATTCCAAGGTTGTCCTATGCCCTCCCATATTCTCTTGATACCCTCGTTAATATCCGCTTTATGCCTGTTTCACACATGCACATATATATATATATATATATATATCAATACGTGTATGGATATCAACCTCTGGTTTGGAAAAAACCGGTGGCCGCAGACGGGCGGAACCAATGGCGGCCCTATGACCGCACCGTGGAAACACCGGGCGAAAACGTGTTCCCGAGGGGGGGGTGATCCGGCGGTGAAGCAGGCTTTCATGGAAAGAGAGCTTAGCTTGCTCGTCGACTTGGGTGGCAAGTTGCGGCGTGGTTCCGAGGGCAGAATCGCGGTTGCTGCCGATTTCTAGGCTTAAGATAAGCGAGAAATTTTGCGTCATGCAATTGCAGAGTGGTCTTTCGGAGTGGAGGAGAATTCGCTGGTGAGATTGATTAAATTTCAGACGTCTTTTGGTACTGTCAGCGTGGGATGTGGGAGGTGGGGAACGGGAATCAACAAAGTTTATTGCGGGACGGGGAGATGGATTTGGGTGGAGTTGAGGTGGATTGAAGTCAATTTCTGGAGTGGAATTTGGGTTGAAGAAGTTGGGCACACCGTGTTTATTCCACGGATATGAATTTTGATAGGAGATTGAGCTGTAAGAACATGAATGAATTCTGCTGAAAAGGATCATATTAGATGTAGTACACCCATAGCGAGAGGAATATAAGTACGAGGTTGGATTTAAGGAGTGTGAGGCAAGAAGGTCGAGAAGAATGTCTGGACGGTGTCATGATCGTAGTCAGCATCATCATCGTCACCATGGGCGCTCAAGATCATGTAGCACCGTAGTAGTAGCGGTGCGGGTGGGCCTCTTCAGCGCTGCAACGGCTGCTGTTCTTGCTTTGTATCGCCAATTCCGGTCCATTGTGCACAACTTCGCCCCAGCTTATATTCGTGAGCTGGACAATGGCGAAAATAGTGAAACCAATCGCGCTGGCCGACTTGCCGAGCTCAGGGTTGCGGAGTTGTACGTCTTCTTTTCCAAATCCTTTGATGATCATAGAGGCGCTTGTGTTTGCGATTCGTACAGAGAATGCTGTATATAATTTGTAAAGATGCAGATGATCCTGATGCTTATAAGTTGCTGAAATAGATCCTTGTCATGTTTCTGAGCAGATTTCAAGGGATTCCTGGCGTTGAGGTTTACCAGTCACTGCGTATTCCAGATCCTGGACACCGGGGACGTCGTGAGGTTGATATAGTTCTTTTGACGAAAAGGTCAGTATGCAACAACGCAATGAGAATCGCACTGAATGCAAAGAAAGTAACCCTAAATACTCGACCGACAATTCCAGCAGCATGAGGTTGCTACTGTAACGTGTACAACATTGATGATATATTCATTGCCGATTCTGTGGGTTTGGTATCTAAATTACTTAACTTGGCACTTACTTTTGAGCCATATTTCATTTCTACCAGATATGCAATATGTGTTATCTGTGTAACAGTTTTATGTACCGCATGAGATTTTACTTGAATGCTTCTTTATGCTTTTTTTATAGGTATACTCCTTGCTTTGCTTTCTTGTAGGACTGATTTTTAGAATGAAAAGTCATATCAAACTTGCATTTTGTGCAACAGGGACCTGTTCGTTCTTGAGGTGAAGAATTGGTCAGGGTCTATTCATCTTAATGGTGACGGGAGCTGGGTGCAGATTCGTAGTGATGGTTCAACTGTAGTGCATTCAAATTTGGTATGATTGACATTCTCAATCCTTTGCGTTTAGATATGAAATATTTTTAATGGAAGCCGGCTTTTTATTCAACATAATGTATAGATAATTTTTTGTGTCTGTTCTATTATGCCAAGCGCAATCTCTCTGAGGCATCCCTTGCAGATGGAGGATTTGAAGTACCGCGTTGATCTGCTGGAGACTTATCTTGAAAGAAGAGGAGTCGCTTTACCTCATGGATTTCTGCAGCCAAAAGTGTTTCTTTTGAATCGGCAATGCAGGTATGGAACAGTCTGTACCTTAATGTGCTAGAGCTGTCAATTGATCACGTACACTGGCATCAGAAGCAATAGTATTCTCCCTGCATTTTAGGTCAGACCAATGTATACGCAGGGAGCTTTATTGATCGTCAGCGGAGGTCCAAGTTTGAATAATCTTTAGTTGAGCTTAGTTCCTGAAAATGAGTAGGTTTGTGGAATGAAAGACTGATTTTTTGCGTGGTGTGTTGCATTAATAGGCCGGAGCAAGCCATAATCATGCAGCGCGAAGTGATTTCGGCAGATCAATGGGAACATTTTTATAATATTAATTTAGTTCAGAAAGATTCAGGATGGCTGAGGAATGCACTCAGCAGCGAAAAGGTGGAGGAGACATTGTCGGAACAAGAGAGAAAGCAGCTTCATTATATATTGAGTACTGCTCCCACATGGGATAGGTACGCATTTTCCCTGATTCACACATGCGTTTGATCTGGTATGAATCATGTGTTTCATGTTTCGCTTACCTTAAACGTTTATTGATGTCATTTCAATTGCTACTCAACTCAACTACCAAAATATCAAGATACATCAACCTAAATGTGCTTCTGCTACTAAGTTTGGATGGATCACCAGGTTTGAGCATTAATTTTGTTGCAAACTTACTGTCTGTTGTAGCTATTGCACACTGAATTATGTGTGGATACTTAGATTCTTCTATTTTCAAGAGAAAGGCAGTTTATTGGTTTTCTGTCTTCAATTCCTTCTGTACTTCAAGGTCTATTGTGCATGATGTTTATTCGTTGAGCCCTGCATTTCTTGAAGGATGAGAAGTAAAACAGTACACTATTTTAACCGTACAGGCTGGAGCTTGAAGATGGGAAGATTGTTGTTGGGGAGTTCCAGGGATTCAAGGGTCGGTCATGTGACACTAGAATTTTATCATCTGTTAAGCGTTCGGCTGTCAGCCGAATGGACATGACCCATCGACAAGGCTGGATCAACCAACTATTCGGTGCGTCTTGGCATTTTGTTTAATTTCATGGCTCATTCAAACTTGGCTTGTAAAGATTTTCGATTAGTGTTAGTCTTAAAATTAACAAATCCATCATCCTTGATTTCATTGAGAGGTTTTTTAAAATTTTCCATTCTGATGCTTTACTGCTGAAGACTTTTGGTATCCAACTCTCTACGGTTTAGGACATTGATATATCATCCACTATCTAACCGAAAACTCAAATTCTGACAGGAACACCGAAGGTTCAGATTCTGGTTACTCTTCGTGATTACCGAGCTGTGAATTTCAACTTCCCAAATAGGAAGTCATTACAGGATTCTTGCATGCAAACTACAGTTAGATCAGAGACTCGGCTTATATTCCAAGTAGTTGGGACTTCAAAACCTGAGTTCTTCAGTGTGAGTGAAGTACGTTCTTTATCACTCAGCTCTTAGTCTACGGTTTTTAGGTGACGAAGCAACTTGGTTAAGAGCTTGAACGTGGTCATGCTTTGAATCAGCTAAACAAGTACAACCTCTGCAAGCTTCAGGACCTGGAAGTCCTTCGGCTTACAGTGGGGACATGCAGACTTCTGCAGTGATATTCTGCGGCCCACTGATCTCACGGCGTTGTAAATACCGATGCACCAAACAGTGGATACTGTATCTGAGGTGCCGTAGGATGATCGTTTCTAGATGGGAGTGTGAAGACAAGATAGAGTGTGGTTTGTGAAGATGGTTTTGTGGACGGGGTTTACAGCCTCCTCTCAACAATCTTACTTAGTATGACAGAAGTGGCGTGGTTAACATGGTGTGACAGAATTTGTCTAGCCCTAGCTTTACCTTTGGCCCATTGGCGATGTATGCCAAGTATAGACATATCTCATTGTGGCACTCTGTGCTTTTCCCCTTCCAACTTGACCATAACATGATACATGATGAACACAATATAGTTGAAACCTGCATTAGTCTTGTGACATATACAGTCAAAGACTTCTTATCAAGTTCAAACTGTTAATGCGGGATATTAGGGATTAGTCAAGTTCTGATGTTAGTTTTGAAAATTTGGACTCAGAATTGGGACAATTTTAAGACAAATGAACTTATGTGTTGAGGTAAAACACTTTTCGCATGTATGAAACTTACAATTGACATAAACACTTTTACACTTATCTGTAACAGTTCATTGAAATTTAACTCAAAGTAGTAGACGTCCTACTTATTACTCATTCAAGTTGTCTTAATCAAGCATTGAGACTGGATATTTTGCGAAGGATCAGAATTTTCTTTGTTTCTTCCAAGTGCTCCAGATGCAATATTGGGACTGCTCTAGGTTGGCTACTGCAGTCTTGTTATCAAGCTAAAAATAGTACTCTTTCCTCACTAAAGCGATCCACCCTTTAAGAAAAGCGATCCATCAACTGAACCAAAAAGCTCCCTCACATCGTAGACAATTGAAACGAGGTTTTCAGTGACAAGACATTTCGTAAGGAACGAAGCCTTCAAGTTCAGGTCCATTGAGACGAGGATTGTTTTCAAAGCTGCATCCACAACCATTCGAAAGCATTTCTTCAGTCAGAAAGAACTGACTTGATACACCTCTAAACTAAACTATTTCGAGAGAACGTACATGAATTTTCACAGATTCAAGGGAAGTGGCACCGAATAGGGTTTCAAGAGCCAAGCGGAGATTAACTTTTGTTTAAATTGAGAACTCACCTTTTGGCTTGAAGGTGACTGAAAGAGCCCGTAACTGGAATGGTGCCGCATAAGTCATTGTTTGACATATCACTGTAACCCGTATTCCACACAAAGAGTCGATCAGCTCAAATCTTCATTTTACAAAGCACCACGAGAAAATATTCTGTGCAACAAACATGTCCATTATCATGCCAAAGCTCTCACTTAAGCAACGAAGCTTTCTAGCGCTATTTTAGGCTGGCTAAACTAGAAACCTTAGACCTTGACCTTAGCGCTGACTACAGGATCGTCCGATAGGCTTACACAGCTTTGAGTGTAGTAATTGACGTCAATTCACGTGGAATACGTCCTGTCAGATGGTTGCTGTTTAGACGTCTGTAGCCAGAGAAAATTTAACATCTAGTTAGGAACTTATGGAGATATACTAGCACCAGGATTTCAATATTCAGCAACAAAAGTAATCCATCTTTTCAATCAATTAGTACTTGTTATCGAGCTCACCCTCTCAAAAAGATTCACAAACCACGACTTCCTACACTAAAGATGAGAGTAATCAACTCACAGAAATGCCAGATTAGAGATCTTTCCGAGAGATCGAGGGATGGAGCCAGTGAAATTGTTGTGGTACAAGTCTAAGCTCACAAGTGACTTCAAAATATCAAGAATCCATCCAAAATGGTCAGTCGCTCTTTTCACATTATTATTATTAACGTTGACTGAAGTAAAGATCGAGAATTAATTGAAAAAATGATCCTGAAAGTCAAAATAGCACTCACCTTCAACTTTCCAAATTCCGAAGGAATGTGACCAGTGAGGTTGTTCTTGTACAATTCCCTGACCACGGCATGAGATTTCAGGAAGTATCAGCACCTACCACTGGTTTTCCCATTACTGTTATCTCTTCTGACATTCCGATTGGCTAAGGGGAAAAAGAGTTGCGACGAGCTCTCTTCAGATGGAGTCCAAGTCTATGCCAAATTTGAGCATGAAACTCACTCATGCTCGAACGGACTTTCAATTTGCGGGAGTGTGGAATAAGTCGAAAATAACCAATCTTACAAGTAAATTATGCAACAATGTTTAAACTCTTACAGGTACTGCAGGTGCTGGAGGTCTCCAAGTTCAGGAACCAACGACCCAGACAGGCGAGCATTTCCAAGATCCCTGTACAAGCAAATAAAGACCAACAAAGTCAAAACAATACGATTAAATTTGATTTATGAAATCATAAAATTCTAAACATTATTCAATACTGCAAACGCAACGAAGTGGTTGCTTTCTTGAAGACATATCAACGACAGTTGAATGTGGGGTAATTACACTCGGATGACTCGATTCTGGCTGTCACATGTAACATGGAACCAGGTACAAGGATTGACCAAGGTGGGATCCCAGCTTTGTAATACATTCGACGGATCAGTCAAGCTCCGGCGCAATGCGTACAGCGAATCACCTTCCGAGTTTGAAAGTGCTGTCGGTAGAAGCGCAGCTACCAACAGTGCAAATAAAACCGATCCTTCCTTTGATTTCTCCATCCTTCGTGCAGCCTAAGACATTCGAATGAGCTGTTAGTGATCCTCAGCAGGAGCACCCCGAAAAATCAAGTATCCAATGCTTTAAATCTGTAGGATCAGTCAAACAAGCAGTTCACAAGAAGTTGATCAAACTTGCATAATGTTTGGATTCAGATCTTTTTCTGTTCCTTCTGCTATTTATATTACTCTTCACATTACTGGGATGGCAGGTGAAAGACATGAGCAACAGCCATCCGTCGTATGTGACCCTAGAGCCATTTGTTGCCATTCGACCAGATCCCAGTGATTCATCCAAACTACATCACTCCTCTAACTATGTACACAAGGTAGAAAGCCGACTGTGAGAAGCGTGTGCATACATGCTAACAAGCACCAAGAACGTATGGCCAACATACAGATGGTCATATACTCAGACATCTCAAAATGAGGTTCCTCAAACAAATATTCAGAAACCTTGGAACTTTACTACGACTGTGACAAGGGCATTACACACTAGTGTCTGAGAGCGAGACCACCCAAGCTTTAAGGCAGTAAACCAACAGAAAGAGAGGCTTCGGGTCGAACACTTCTTTACTGCTCCCAATGGTGCCCAGAGAAAATCACATTAATTCAAAGTATTTGAAAAGAAAGCTTTCAGGATTTAGAGGAACCGGGAGGGTTCTAAAGAGGGCAACCAACCCGTAGACCCAAGCCCACGACCTAGATGAAGCCGGGTGTGGCTTTCCGGATCCAAGGTCGCGGAGAGAGCCTACCCTCAAATCTGAACGAAATTGAGTGTATTTTTGCAGGTTCGAAGACATCAGCAGCAATGCGATGAGACAATGAGCATCACAGAATAAGAACGGCAACAATTTCAGAAACAACTTCTACCCACTACCGAAAACTCTCCAAGAAACCCCAAAACAACGACCACAAAAACACCGCTTCAAACGCCATACCCAAATCACAGATACTCAAGGGACATTGTCCAAGATCGATCAGAACATCAACAAGCTTCTCACCGCTCAGAAACACCAACAAGGGGCCAGAGAAGGCTGACTCCCAGGCACAAACACAGAAGCACAGGGTTGGCTCCGGGAGCTACAGCACCAACATAGCTGTACAGGAACGAGAGACATGGGTATCGAAGCTTACAACCACATTAGCCATCGGCGAGCAGCAAAAGCAGTCCGGCGAGGTTTCCGAACTCTGCAGTGAATGCGAGACTCTGGTTTTTCTAACACACAAGCGTGAGCACAGTACACCTACAGCGCTGGGGTAAGGTACGGCGTAGCGTAGCAGGAGGAGGAGGAAGAGGAGTGTGAAAGACTTAACCACGACCTTGATCTCGCCATTAAGGTGGCAATAATCGCCATCAAATTTTGCGTCATTCCCAGTCAAGGCTCGCGCTCAAATGTACAGCACCACCACCACAATCAGAGGGCCTCGGAATTGCATGGCCCCCACCTAACCCAGTGTCATGGAATTGCGATCCCACCTGCAGGCTGCCCGAATTAGACAAAAAGGCAACTGAAAGAGAGAGCGATTGACAGGGAGAATCGCGGGCGATCTCTTGAAGCTTGTGGCGGAATTGTCAGGAGTCAGAGACGCTCCATGCCTCGTTGTCAGAACGGCATGTGTCGCCGTTGAATGCTTCCTCCGCCGCTTTGAATGGCCTCTCGCGGCCTTCGGCGTCTATTCGCAGCGGCTTCGGCGTCGTCCGACGGACGGAAGGAGTTTTGGATGGATTGTGTTTCATTCATCTGCTGATGACGAATGAAATGAAATATGGGGTAGCAAATGAAGTGATTGGGAGGAAAGATGTCGAAGATTTTGAATGAAAGGAGGGGATTATACACTTGGAGTAGAGTGACATATTGTCAAGTGTGGGTCCACCTCTTGTATGTCCCCTTTGGCCTTGTGGATTTGTGCAATGACTATGCATTTTTTTTTGTAAATGACAAATCAAGTGAATATGTACTATGAATTGTTAAAATAAAAATTGGTGTAAATTTTAATGATAAATCATCCAATGTCAAATTAAAATAACAGCTTGAAGAAAGATTGAAGGACAAGCAAGGAGGCGGAGCTTTACATAACATGAGGTTTATATTTGATAATATATTGTTTAACCTAAGTTTTTTTGAATTTTTTTTATAATTATTGGAAGATATAAAAGAAAAGATATATATATATATATATATATATATATACATATAATGTATTCGTTGGTAACAAGGACAACAAAAATTTACCACAAAAAGTTACGACAAAAAGTTATAATGTATTTATTCTATATCTTAAGAATAAAAGATTTGTAAATTGGATGCACACACATTGTTGGCCCTTCTTGTGGAGGATATTGTCTTACTTGTCATATATTAATTGTGCTTCAAGTAGCATATGCACACCTTCATCAAAAGAGAAAATAAATTTTATTCTATTTTATTTTAATGTACAAGACTTAAATTTATTAAAGTCTAATAATATCCTTATATATCTTTAAGAAAATGATAAAGTAACATAAATTTTTACTAAAGTGATCCACTCTATCTTAAGCATCATTACACCCTTGAAGCCCCCATCCCTAATCCCAGCTATTCTCCATTCCCAATCATTGCTAAGGACAAGGGTGGGAGCTTGGAAATTTTGAGAACAGGGGCAATGGTTGGAAACAAAGGAATAGGGGAATGACTGGGCACGGGGCATGTGGATCAATTTATTAAAACTTTTGATGGCTTTATCATTTCCCTATTTTTATTAGTACAAATATGTATCCTATTTTACTTGATAGAGTATAAGTAAGATAACATCCTATATTAGAATTAATGGCCTATATATTACAATTGCTCTTATTCAACAATTTTCTAAAATGTTAATAAAACAAAATCATTAATTTATGTGTTGTTTTGTGAATAAGGATTGACTTTGGTTTTATTACAAATTAATAAATAACCTACTTCCTTTTGCATCTTTTTATTTTTAAGTATTATTTAATAATTATATTATTTTAAGATTAAATAATATTAAGATTTGAAGATTAAGGATTAGTATGATTTTTTTTGTTAGCAACATAAATCATAATTGATTCTAATAAATTAATAAATCTATAAAATATTTAAAAAATTAATGATATCAATAAAAAAAAATTGCATATAAAACTAAAGTACTTTTATAATAAAATTAGAATAAGATTAAAATTAATTCAAGTTTTAGTACTCTTAGTTGAACCCAAGAAATGTAAAGTCTAGAATTCAAATAGTGAATAATCAAATGGTATTTAGAATTATATGACTAGACTGCTACAAAACACTATTATTATTTATGAGCTTATAACAAATTTAGATTAAAAGATGTTTAATATATTCTTTTTTTTAATACTTTTAACAAAGTAATTGGAAACAATAAAAAATTTCAATATGGTTGGTTGCAAAATATGCTTATCTCTCTCTCTCTCTCTCTCTCTCTCTCTCTATATATATATATATATATATATATATATCTTATCTAATTCGAGTACAATTTAGGGATTTTAAAAAATAAATTATTATATGTTAAAAACTTGTTAACAGTAAAAAGTTAAATCCAAATTTCTATTTATAAAAAAATTACTGTTATTGAAGATACATTTACTTAGATTTTATTTAAGTATGCTAGTTATATTAATTCTTAAAAACATTTATCAAAACAAAAATATATTAATTAATATTAGATCACCGACATATTTTGTTTCTTCATTGTATAATTTTTAGATATTTTTTAAACTAAATAATATATTCTAAATAATCAGATATTAATAGAAAATATAAAAGGCATATTTTAAACCTACTTAGGTTTATTCTATAAATAATTTAACTAATATATATATATATATATATATATATATATATATATATATAATCACAAATTATTAAAAATCATAATTTTTATCAAATTAAGATTTATTTTTATATTTTATGTTATGATTTAAGTAATTATGTTGAAGATTAATGTATAAATATTTCAAATTTTACTTTATTAATTACAATAAACAATAAGGTTTAAGAAAAAAATTATATATATATATTATTAGGAATATATTTTTAAAAAATTAATTTTACTAATTTCTTATAATATAAATATAATTATATAATAAAATTTTAAAAATATTTTATTTTTATTTTTTAGAAATTTATTATATTTTTAAAAATAAAAAATATAATCACATAAAAAATCTTAAAATATTCAACTTTATAATACAATACTAATAATTTTGTAACTTACAATTTTCTTAATTCATGGTGTTTTAGAGTTATAAAATAATAAAACAAATATATAAGATAATTAATGGAGAATTTAAATAATTTATTTATAAATTGGAAAAATATTTCTCTATTATAAATTTTTAAATTTATATATTTATTCTTAAATATACATTCTCAATATGTATGTATATATATATATATATATATATAGAGAGAGAGAGAGAGAGAGATAGAACAGTTAAAATAAATTTTCATAGTAATATATTTGTAGAACATATATATTTTTAATTTAAATAAGTTTATATTTATATTAAGAAATGTACATAATAGTACAACAAAATAATATTTGGATCATATCATTTCTAAAACATCGACTAAAATTTCAATAAAAACAAAAAAATGGTTTAAAATAGTGCAATGATTCTTTAGAGAATAATTAACATTATATATCCAATTGATTTAGCTACATCTTATGTAATCTTTGTGTACATAACTAGCTAATAATATACCTCTTTATTTTGCTCAATTTTTCATTTCTTTGCTTCAAGAAAGGATGGTGGTTGAGAATAAGAGAGTGAATATTAAAAAAAAAAAAAAATCAATTTGTTTCTATATATATATATATATATATATATATATGAATATTTTGTTTTGTTTTTTAATATTTAACTTTGGCTGCTAAAAACACATAATTCTTATATCTAAAATTATTCTTTTTTGAAGTGATTACTAGTATAAATATTGAGTTTTCAAATGCACTCTAAGGGTATAAACATGTTTTATCAGTTAATTTAAGTTGTGTAGAGGTCACATGGGGCGTAGCAGTACCAATTAGGGGTGTAGCATTATCAATTTTCATTCTTCAAAACACAAATTATCTAATATCTATATTTTTTATATTCAAATTCAAAATTTGATAATTTAAAAATTAATGAAAGTAAATAACTCAATGGTAAATATCAAATATGCATGTTTTAGAATATAAAACTTTAATTACTATATTTTAAAATTTATTATTATAACTTATAAGTTACAAAAAAAGATTTTTAAGATGCTAATAAAACACAATACTTAGAATAAATAAATCATAATAATACATATATTATTTTTGTGTGTATAAATATATATGTAATTTTTTATTAAATTAAATAAGATAGTTGAGAGATTTAAATTTAATATTTTATTAAAATATTAATTTACATTAATCAGAATATAAAATTTATTAACTATTTATTATACAATATTTATATAAATTTAGTACTTTATCGCTAACTTTGTAAACTAAATTAAAAGAATATAACATTTTTTTTCTTGAGATATTTTAATCTAGAAATTATATTATAATTACATAGAAATTTTAAAATTTATTTTAATAGCCTTAAAAATATAGCACTTTAGTTAGTGTTCTAAATAGAAAACTTGTAAATAATAAATAGATAAATATTTTTATTTATATTTAACAAAAAAATAGTACAAAAATTATCTGATTGAATTACTTCCTATCTTATCTATGTTGATAACTAACAATAATTCATTTTTGCACAATTTAGTTGTGGCCCTTACTTTAATTGCTTATGGTCTTTTAAAAGTTTGGTCTAATAACTATATCAAGCATTATTGATATGATAGGATTTGAGGTGTAATAATTTTTTTTAAAGTTAGATAGAGTCTATCTAGCCACCTATTTCTTGATTTTTTTAAAGTTGGGTATTCCTTGAATAGACTCCATCCAACTATCTAATCCATGAATAAATAATACTTGCTTTAAATATATTACATCTTGCCAAAGTAATAGAATGGATGCTCTTTAAACATTATTAAGAAACTATGGCAAGGACAATTATAAACAAGGAAAGTTGATATTTAAAAACATATCTATAATATTATACATCAATGACAATTTAATCCATACATGTCATCTTGATTAAAATTAGATATTATAATTATAAAATCAATATATAATTTTTAAAAAAAATAATTTCAAAATTATTTTTCATAAATAATAATTATAAAATTATATAATTTATTTTGGAGTAAACTTAAATATATATATATATATAGCATATTATTTTATAGTAATAGTTTTATTCTTGTATAGCTTAAAGAATAATTTTATGTCTTTTGCATTAATATAAGTATTTACATTATCCACCTTTAATTCAAAACTCATATTAAAATTAATATTTTAGATAATATTTATAAATTTTAGTAATTTTTGGTTTATTCAAGATTTTTTTTAATTGTTACAAAAAATCATATTATGAAGAATTATTCAATCTTTTAACTTTAATAACTATTCTTAGAAATATAATTATTTTTTTATAATATATTAAATGTTAATTTTTAAAATAAATTATCTTTTGATTATTTTGTTAATATATATTTTTTCAACTTTTTGACCTTTAATAAAATTCTTATCTCTATGTGTAGCATCTTCAAAATCACTAGTATTATCTAGAATTGAGTCTAATAATATAATTTCTAAACCTTTGTATTTTATACTATTATATATTCTACACATAAATAAATAAGTAAATATATAATTAACTATTACATGATCATAAGAGACATAATTTATTATTTGAAGAAATATTTAAAATATTCCAATATTCTTTTACAATATCAAAAATACTAATATATTTTGAAAATATCAAATATATCTACATTAATGAGTAGTGACCATATTGATTCACACGTGTAACACTTTGATTGCCTACCTCTAAATTTGTTAAGTTAGTCTAATTAGTGGTCAATATGATAAGCTTCAAGTCTATAGAGAGATTAGAGATGACGTTGTCATGTTGTGGTTCTGCTATTATATGAAAATAATGTAATTATGTACTTAATATATAATTTATTAAGTAACATGGTGAGAGCCATGTTAATAGATTTTAGTTGGTTGTAGAATATAATTTGATTATTACCTTGAGGAGAGGTTGTTTAAAAAGATTACTATAGAATTTGTAAAACTTTAATTTCCTTTTGATAGTGGCTTTTAAGATTTGTTTTCGTTGATAGTAACTTCTAAATATTTAGAGTCACCTTTGTTAGACATTGGTGACATTTAAAAACTTATTTTGGTTCTTTTATTTGGTGTTTAGAGCATAAATTGTGTAAATCTTATAAGAAGAAGGATTGAAGAAGGGTTTTGGTAGCAAAGAGAGTAATTAGGGCACCAATATAGATGAATGGAGATGAATGATGAAAATCTCCATTCCTATTGGTCAAAAATCATGACCAACAGGCTTTGAGGAGGCTGCCTGAGGCCATATTAGAGATTAAGGTTAGTTTTTCAGGGCCATTCGACTTTTGAAGGCTAAGGTTAGCAAGTTTAGGTTTTTGGCTATGGTTTTGGTGCAAATTTTGTATGGTTTGGAGTTTATATAAAGGAGATACAAGCACTCAAAGTTAAGGTGTTGAATTGGGAGCTATTGTCATTCTTTTTGGCATAACGCACACGTACATACAACAATTGAGGATCGGCATCCGCGATTGGAGAGAGCACTTTTGCAGCTATACTTTTCATATATTGCTTGCTAGATTCTAAGTTGGAATAAAGGAGTTATTGGATTTTGAAGTCAGCACATGCAATCTAAGAGTAGTAAGTGACCCAATTTACTAATGGTTGTGTCTTGAACTATATCTTGAGCAATTTGACAAGGTATTGGCTTAGAATTTGAGGAAATGTGTAAATTCATGTTAGTAAACTTTTTACATAAGTTTTATGACATTTGAGTATTGGATTCTTGAGATATTAAGAAAATAGTGTTCAGGTGCTTGTAAATTAGGGTTTAGAGCGTCTACTAGGGTTTCTTAGATTTCAAAAGTTCGGAAATTAATTTATAGTTGGGTTTTTTTGTGATAAAACTTAAGGGTGAATTCTACCTATCCTATAAATTTTAGACAAATTGAACGGTTAGATCAAGAATTATGAATTTCTAAAGTTTAAAAAAAGAAAACATTTTGCAAGAAAAATATGTTTTAAAGGGATTTTGTTATATTTTGAGTTTTATGCAAAATAAAAGAGTTTTGGAAGCTAAGACAAGATTCATATAAAGGTTTAAGCTACACTCTCTACAGCTAGATACCTAGTGTATTCCCAGATTGCAAATCATGCCATACGAAAACGTTATTACTAAAATTTTCTACAAGAAAAGTGTGTTATATAAAGACAAGTGTGAGTGAGTGTGAACATGTGTAAGTGTAGTCAGTGTGACTGACGTGGGCATAACCACTTAACTTGTAAAGAGCCTATTTGAAGTTGAGAGACTAAGTGGGAAACCATGATGTAGGAAAGATGGTGTAGGAGAGATCAAGGAGTGTGAGAGTTAAACTTGGAACAATAACAAATGAAAATATTTGTTCCCATATTCATCTTAACAATAGTGATATTTTTGAAATAATAGAAGAATATAGGGATATTTTTTGTAATTATTACATAATATACATATGCAAATACACATAATACCAAAACACAAATGTTATTTATTGTAATTTATAAAAACCATAAATTTTGCAAATTTTGGTTATATAAATATATAAATATTTATTTATTTAAATAATCAAAAATCATTTATAAACAACATTAAACAAAAATGTTTTTTGTAATAAAATTTTGGTATTTGTTTTTTGAACTACATATATTTAAAGAATGGTATTACTTAATAATACATTTGAAGGTTTTTCATATGATTACATACTTAGAAATAAACACATGCAAGTAACCACATTATAATACCACAAGTTGCAACATTGGATACATTGCAATTTCAATTCCCAAGTGCCAGTCAAGATCAAGTCAAGAAGTTGAATGATAGTAAATTGAGGTTGATTCAAGAATCACAAAGCACTCTTGGAGTTAGGAAATGTACCAAGGACCACAAAGATGGAACAAAGTTCCATTATATTAGCAATAAAATGGAGTCCTAGGTCAAGGTGAAGGTTAAATTAACAAGGCTAACTATGATTGATCAAGTTTGGATTTTCAAGAAGCTGATCAGACTCAAATCACTGTTCCATTATCTTGTCAACACAGCAAAGTGAAACAAAATAAAGTCAACAATGAATTTCATGAGGCAGCAGAGCAAAACAAAGTTAAATTAAATCTTACAAAGCAATCAAACAAAAATACCTCCAAAACAAAATGAAACTTCCACAGGTGATACTAGATGTTTGTGAGGCATCGAAGCAAAACAGAGTTGACATGCGAAACTGATGAAGCCAAACATGACCAACCTATCACCTTAGAATTGATGTAAAACAAACTAACAAGGAAAAAACAAACCAAGATCACAAGTACACACAAAATGCTAAGAGTAACACCCATCATATTCTAATGAAATTATTAATATTAACGATAATTTGGGTATAATGCTGAGGTTTCTTAAAGATAAAGCCCTCCTTCCTTCTCCAACCACCTTGACAGCACACCCACTTGGATTTCACAACATTGACTAAGAATGCAGATCAAACAGACACATAGCACACATTACGAGAATAACATATTCAACACAAAAAATCAAAATGGATTTAGCACGCTGTGGGGAAACATCACATGGTACAGTCCACCTTTTTTTGATAAATGAATAGTCCAGCTCCATCAGGACCAATTCTGTAGAACTGTACCCCTTGTAAGGTACAAGATAGAGCATTACAGGGGCAGTTCTGCAGAGCCGTGGACCTTGAACATGACCTTGTAGGGCATGACATGGTGTACAATTCTTATGAAATTGGATGGCTACAAATGAAAGGTACAACAATTTATCAAAGCTATTTCTTCCTACTCACCAGAGTGTCATGCTGCTCCTGTAAATGATGCATAATCTGAGGTTGTGAGGCACGAAAACCTGACCAGAAGATTGAATTACAGAATGGTGGTTATTTACTAACAGACTCAAAGTAATGCAATCTCAAAAATTTATCAGCAACAGTAGAAAGTCAGGGGGTTGAGTAGCTTACAACCACCAAGCTCATGAAGCAGTTACACACGGAACACACCAAATGTAGAATCTGAAACCAGGAACATTGACTCAGTCAAGCCATGACTATACAGAGATTTCAGAAGCTCTTTGTCATTTCTTACGGTTTCCGGTAGTTACTGCACCAATGGATCGTTCTCCAAATTGCCTACCAGTATATTAATTTACACTTGCTCTTGCCTGCTTCGAAGCTTCACATGTTTGCTGTGAACCCGCCTGTGAGTTCCCATCATGTGATCTCTCTTCCCCTTCATCCTCTTTGAGTAGGATGATACCGATGACTACTGTAATAGTTGCAAGGATACTCAATTGAGAAAGGAGAATGCAAAACGTCTGACCACTATTCTATCCAAACGATTGGTAAGAATTGTAGGGAAAAACAAGAAAAGAGGAAGAAGAAAGCTCCTCCAAACACTAGCCATTGAACATCAGAGATTAACCTGATGCAGACCACGACATCAAAATTTTAGAGGAAGCTTCAATTTTTTCTGGCCATCTCCTGTGTCTTGATCCAGTGCTCGATGTGCTGCAAAAACGTGCGATTCTGGGGTCTATCCTTCCTACGCACGTAGGTGGCGTATTCCTTCTCAGTGAAGGCCTCAATATGAGGTGCCTTCGCAATCTTTGAAGCGTACGACGGGGCTGCAAAATACGCCTGTGCAATTATCTCCGAAGATAGGGATTCCTGCTCAACAGAAGATTGCAGTTGAAGAGCCGACAGCACAATTGGACGCCGGACATAGTTCCCCTTGGAGACTCCTTCTAGCTCGTCGAGGCGCTCAATTGCAATTCGATCAACCTGAAAACCCGCTGCACATGTCAGAATGGGAGCAAAACTCTACATTCAGGTAAGAAAGTAAATCAGCTTTCAGACTCCCACAGGATTGAGAAACATTGAGAAAGAGATAGGTCTCGATTGGAGGGAATAAATGTTTCAGGCTTGTAAAACGAACCTCGTAAAGCTCCCCTCGGACATGATGGCCCAAGGACGGAATGTCGATCAAGAACGGCACTTGATAGGGTCCACAAACCATGGGAAACATTTCTTTCGTTCTGGCAAAGCCCAAGAACCGGGCATGGCCTTTGGAACACACATCCTCCATGAGCCAGTAGTTCGAAAAGCCCTTCTTCAAGGTCCCATAGACGAAAGCGTAGGTCATGGGAGGGCATTTCAACGATGTCGAATTAGTATTCACTCCAACACACTCTTTCACTTCCTTCAACTCCGTCGCTAAGCAGCGGTCAACTGCATTCGAAGTTCTAAATTTCCGCATGTCAACGCTATACTCGTGAGCAACACAACTATCGGAATGCTGATGTTTCTCCTGCGATTGCTGCTGCAGGGGCTTGGTTTTGGAAGGAAGAGCAGAGGAGGCAACAATTGGGCGAGGACCTACGACCACCATGACTATAGCCTTTATTTTTTTTTATTTCACAACGCCAACAATGTGTCCGAGCACTACTTCCTACAGATATCACCTTCCCTGGTAACTCCGACTAGAAAATCTATATCCACCGATCAAATTTTTTGTTCATTCACAAAAAACTGATAATGAAAATCTTGAGCACAAACCACGATGGTGCACCACGATCATTGAATCAGAGGTCGAAGAGCTGCGTGACGGACAATAGAACGTGACACGAAAGAAAAAAGAGGATGAGTAGATTACTACCGCAAGCTACCTGACGATGCTAACTCTCAGAAAAAAAGCAAGTTCATAGAACGATGCCCGCACCTACATTGCACGCGAACCACTTCAAAGATGAAACTCTCACAAAACCACAAAACCCACTAAACTACTGCGTGAAGGCTCCTCGTAGAACCATACCCGCGAGACGAAATTCCCAAGACAGATTGCGGCGGCACCCAGAAATCAAACACCAACCAGGGCGAGCACTAACACGAAAACTCCGCAGAAGCAGGCCTCCTCAACAAGACTCCATTAAAAAAGCAACCACGCTGCGCTACGGGAGCACACTCCACTCATGCACCGGCTAGCTTGCCACTCACTCACTCACGGCCGCAACGTTGCTGACCCGAGAAGATATACGAGAAAAAAAAACCAGCCACCTCGCAACCACCGTCTCACCCACCCCAAGTTCCGCACCAAATCCTGCACCGGAAACGACAATGCAGCAACCCACAGAGAGTTCACCGAGCGGAGACGCACTGTGAGGATTCCAGAGCATGTGTGTGCAAATCTGAGGCGCGTGTGGGGGTCAAGAATCAGCCGCGCGCAATGGACGAGAAGTACGCGAAGTGAAGGCTGCAAAGTAGTGAAGAAGAGCAGAAGACGTGAAGAAGGGACGGGCTGGGCCGGGCTGGGTTTTCCTTTATGGGCTGCCTGGGTGGACCTCCGACCTGGCCCCTTATTTCTTTGCCCAAGCGGGGGACCCGTGGATATGGGTAACTTCGTGAACTTGGTGAGATTCTTCCGAGAACCCACTTTCGGAACGCCCGTTCCCGTGTTCCATTGGAAATAAAACCGTGTTTTTTTTTTTTTTTATGGATTTTGGTTATTTTGTGGGTGGGTCTTCAGTGGAGGTTTGTATGAGTCTCACACTCTTTGGTGCACAATTGCGGTTCGTTTCATGAGGTTGGAATGATTGGTTCTTTGTAATCTTTAACACCATGAGTGTGCATATATGCATGTATGTACAAAGACAAATTAAGTATATATATATATATATATTGAAAATATTCAAAAAAAATTAAATGTGGCAAAGAAGCCAGTTCGAGTTTGACAAATTAAACAGCTATAAAAAGCATATTATAGCACCATAACTTCTAGACATCTTACCCTCACAGGCTCGGTTTGAGGTTTGAGTGGCACTATATTACATCGTTCTCAATTCAACTTCACAAAAAAATTAAAAATAAATAAAAAAAGGCATGCGAAATGCTCATATGCACAAACACATGCAAGAAAAAAAAGAAAAAAAGAAAACCATTCAAAATTTCTATATGACACGAGCGATGGTAACAGGTTTTCTAAATATCCCAGGATGCAACATCCCAGTTCTGAAGAGACAGAACTCTAGAGCATCACAAAAAGTCATTCCACACAATTTATATCATTTCCACAACAAAACAAACAAAGCAGACAAACGAACAAACAAAAGCACATATTCTCACAATCCAAATCCACATGTTGGCTTCACCCTGCAGCAATTTGCCACAAAAGCCCAAAGTGGGGACCATCTCCGCTCCTCACCCAAAAACGTGCTGGAAGATTCAAATGGGTCCAAGCAAGCAATACCCAAGTAAATTAAATTAAATTAAAACGTAGCTTGGCCATACGTTGCACGCCACGCCGCAGCCGCAGCAGAAGGGAGACCTGTGGCCGTCCCTCCAATACCTCTAAAACTGATTTAACACCACACGCCATGACGGAGCCCTAATTCCGCTCCTTTCATCCATCTACCATCTCCACCATCATCCATAATATTCATTAATCCATTCAAAAATCTGATTAAAGCACAGAAAACACAAACCCTAATCCTGATCGAGCTCTCAGAAGTACCCGTTTCGTGCTTTCGCGTAACTGGTCGAGATTGCAATGGCCGCTGCGAAATGAATCAGCCTTTCCGCATGCATTGGAGTGGTACAACCTGCAATTTAAGTTGCGATGCGACGCTGCTATTCGTTTTCATGCGGTCGTTTGCTTGGGATGGGTTAGTGGGGGTTGACTCAGTAGAAGAAGGAAGCCAGCTGGTTTTCGATTGGTACGTTTCGCTCCACCGTTCAGCTGCCGCAACGATCTCTGCGGCTGGAAGGTTGTGCTTCGCTTCGAAGATTGGGTTAATTTGGGTTAAAGTGTAGTTTGGCTACTTTCGCACCCAACGAGTTTCCTTGCAACTGTGTTACGGCATGAGCGTTGATTTGCTACAGCGAACCTTCTAGAGAGGGTGGTTATTCTTTTCCCAGTCAATGACGTCTATCTGCCCGCGGCCCCACATCCTACAGGCAACGTTGGATCCGTGGGTCCAAACAATCGCGGATCCCTCCCGTGCGGTTGGATTCGTTTGTTGGATGGTGTGCATTGGGGATATAGATGGGGGATTCGAGGGAAACGACAGATCTCGAGGATTGGCGTCTGCGTTGTCAGGCGCTCCCATTCCTTGGGGGGTGACTTCGGCGATCCCAATGGAGGTCATCGATCCCAGCGTCGCAACTATGGCACCTGCAATTTCAGGACCCACCTCGTTTGCCCCATCGGCTCGCCACACACATGAGGTTTGGCCAGTGGCCCGACTGATTATGGTTGATTTGAGCTGCTGGCCATGGTGTGGGCGGAAAGAGTAGTCAATTCTGGCAGTTGTGAGTTTCTTTGGAGGGGGAAAGTTGACTGTTGCCTATTTGTTGCTTCATTGAGAAGCCGTCTAGCACAGTGTGATTCTCTGCAAATTACAGGCCAATCCTTCGCGATCAAAGACCTTGGCCAAGTGTGTATACAATCACCGCCTTTCAAGTTTTTTGTCGTCAATCTCTGGTCACTGATGCATCCGTCTGTGGAGCCTACACCGACATGATGTATATTAATATTTCGGTTCTTCAATCCGTCTCACGAGAAGTCTTGCTCTCCTTTGGTTCACTCAGGGGATTTCACTAGATTTGGCAAGGCCATGCAGGTGCGTGACCCTTCTCGCGGTAGAAGGGTTCGCGTGATCAAATTCCAACGCTGCAGTGGTTACTAATCTGTAAGGGCTTTCAAGTTCCAAATTACGAAAGATACCTTCAGTCCAATGTGTGTAGATTTTTTTTTTTTTTTTTTTTTTTTAATGTATAGTAGCTTCATTCATTACTTCATTCAGCTGCTTTAATCAGTAATGTTCCTTCACAATTTGGTGAGACTAAACTAGTTTTCATGAGACCCGCCAAGTTTGTCGAACTGCCATTGTGGCATCTGGGCATCTTGCAACGTCGCAGCTCCTACCTTTCCCTCACCGCTTGAGGATGTCGTGTGTCGCGAGTGTGGGCTCCAGTCTGAAAGCAGACTCTTCATTATCTGTTGAACTTGAGGCAAGTAAGCACTGTAGAATGCGCAAGTTGTGCTTTCTTCGTTTAGTAGGTTGAGCCATGTCAGTATTCAAGAGTCACAAGTTTAATCTTTGTTTTTGTTCTTTGATTTTGTTACATTCTTGAAAGATAAATTCAATTGTGTACTTCATCGACAGCCCAACCATACATCTTGTGCTCTAGATAATACCCAAGAAGCTGGATTCTCGTGACACTGTTGCAAATACAAAGAACGAAATGTACGTGACCAACAAAAAGAAAAAGAAAAAAAATACAGCAGAGATGCGGTGGAGAGATAGAGCGGCTGTTAAAGTGATCAGAGAAACAAGACACGGCGGCAACAAAACCTAAACTCACTTTCGGTAATCAGCAAAGGCGGAACAAAAAAAGAAAAAGAAAAAAGAAAACAAAGAAAACAAAGAAAAGTGGAAGATTAAAAAGAAGGGATTTAACGGAAAGACATGCAACACATGCACAGGAGTCTGTCACCAAACGGATCGTCCCACAATGAAAATGAATTTGCTCCACCGCAAGAAAAGCATGAGTAAATTTTGCACTTCCAGCAATTAGCTTACAATCCGACTTCCACTGATGGTTAGGGGTCGAATGCAGGAAACTATGCAACACATACAGGGCGTCAACACCGAACAAAGGTTGGTAATTGTGGACTTATGCACAATATGAACAGGAACATCACCAACATTTACAAAAAGAAGCAATCCAAGCACAAACTGATACACCTTCGAATGCATCGAAAGGTGATGGGGAGTTGGGATGCTGAGAGACACAGAAGGAGGAGCTCATCAACCTCGGAGCTTCAATCCTTGACATAGGGCATCATGTAATCCAGTCTCTGATGCCGATTCTGGCTATCCTGGTGCATTTCTTCAACTTGGGTGGGATACAGAGTCGAAGTGTGGAATTCCAACAATACAGTATCAATAACCTCTGCCTAATACACTCAAGATACTAACCCTAACGAAGTCAAAGGTGCATCAATTGGCGCAATTAGTACAGATTCAGAGTGGGTGGGAGAGAAGGGGATCCTTACAGAAGAAGCCACTCATATCGAAACTCATATCCAGGCAGGAACTGCCCATTAGGATTTTCCATCCTCAACGCCATTTAGAGTTTCAGTATTATGAGAAGAAAAAAACTAAAAAGTTGGTCACAACAAGGGTTTTTATTTATTTAGTTATTATGATTATTTTACTTGATTTCTTTTCTATATTATGATTATTTTATTTGTTTTGGATATAAAACTTTTCTTGTTATGTTGTGTGGATGTTGTCCTGTATCTTATTTTGTACATGGAAAAGATATTTAAAACTATTGCCATAAAATACTAGTGTTCTAGAAAAAGATAAAGGTAATTAAGAAAAAAGTCATATTATGTTTTGAATTACTTTGTTCCACAAGGTTTTTGGATTACTATTTATATATTATTACTAAAGTTGTTAATGAAACAAAATATACAACAAAAAAGAAAAAGAAATATATTTTTTGAAATTTAATTTTTTATACAAAGATTAGCTTAAATAAATAATAATAATGTATCAATTATATTCACAAAATAATAATAAAATAATAAAAATAAATAATTTTTAAATCAAAAAATCATATACTAAAGACTTTAAAATTAATTTTATTGTGAATAGAATAATTAACTACATGTTTAATTCAAATTCAAATAAATAGATACTACCTATTGTGAATACGAAAGCCAACTATAAAAATATCATATATGAAATAAAAAAACCCTCTATCTGAGAATTATATTCTTTTTATAAATATAAGTATCAAAAGTTGTTAAAAGATAAGTTAAATCTTTATATTGAAAAGATTATAAGTATATTAAAGTACAATAATATAATAGGATCTATATATGTATAGATATATAATAATAATAACAATAATAATAATCATTGTAATAGAAATTTAGCATTAATCTTCTTTTTTGATAGGATTAATTATAAAATACTATAATATGTGACTTAAAAGATTAGCTTTTAAAGTTATTTAAAATTTTTACCCACTAAAGTTTTATTATAAAAATAAACACATCTTTTATTTATTCAATAAGAAATATAAATATTCACATTTATATATTTTTTAATTTTTAATTTTAAAAAATAATAAAAATATCTACTTTAAAATTAAAATAAATTATATAAATAATCAAATCTAAATTACTATTAAATTCTATTTAAAAATATAAATAGATATTTTAAAAATATATTATTTAATATTTATGCTTATATCATGAATTTAATATATATAGGAAAATATTAAATTGACTTATACTTTTATTAA